CTATTCCCCACCCCGCACACGTGAATGACAAACCAGAGCAATCGCTGTGCCCCTACACACTGACCCTGGGGCGAAGAGCACTGCCCATTCGCTCTTCACGCCAAGGATCCGGGTTCGATTCCCCACATGGGTACAATGTGTGGAGCCCATTTCGTGTGTCCCACGGCGTGATATTGCAGGATAATTGCTAAAAGCATCGTAAAACCACATACTATAGGTTAAACACAACTTAAAAGTAAATTAACCCCTACGGTGTTACTAACGTCAATAGCGCGTTAGGTAAGACGTACATGTACTTGTGTATCGTGAAGAGACAACAGGATACCGCGTATTATCAGATAGATTTTAGCAGAAAACAAGAAGGAAGGAGCAAGTACGATGAATGGGCATGTTGCTTCGGGTTCTGTCCGATGTTTTAATCGTTTTGGGTATGATTATCACGTCACGTGGTGAATCTACAATATATCAGTGATGAATCTACAAGATATCTGTGATGAATGTACAATATATCTGTGATGAATTTACAATATATCTGTGATGAATGTACAATATATCTGTGATGAATGTACAATATATTTGTGATGAATGTACAATATATCAGTGATGAATCTACTATATATCTGTGATGAATCTACTATATATCTGTGATGAATCTACTATATATCTGTGATGAATGTACAATATATCAGTGATGAATGTACAATATATCAGTGATGCATGTACAATATATCAGTGATGAATGTACAATATATCAGTGGTGAATGTACAATTTATTATATACTTCGATAGTTTACTTCAGTGAACATAACACTTGATATTTCACTGCAGTGAACACACCACTTTGACGAAACTATTGTCTTACAAGAGTTACCTCCCTGCATATTATTTCCCTTTTATTAGTGTCGAGCCCGAACAAAAACTGTTGACTTCCTTTTTTTACGTTTGTTCAACATTGACAAGGCAAATGGTGACAGATGGTCATTTATGGAGTTAATACGCTTCTTGCCGTTTGTTTTTCTCTTGAAAATGTTTCGTTATGAACTGTCAATTTCTCATTTCTCAATTGAGACTTCGATTCGCAAAGCGCCATTTTTGTTACTTGACCAGCGTGTATCCCTCCGCTTCCAACAGCGCTCTCGTAGATTTCAAGAATATTTTTTGTTGAAGTAAATTTGTATATAATCATATCCAAATGTATGATAATGAATTTTATTGACCTCAAATATTGTTTGTTACTTTTGTTTTATATTTTACTTTTATATATATTTAGGATTTCGCAAACAAGGAACTACTTTTTAGGTCGCAAGGGGTAGTGAAACATCCCTGATAGGGAGAATTTACCTTTCAAGGTTTTTCGTGTGTAATGAAATATTTTAATTTCCCGTTAGACAACAAAACACGATGTATATATATAAATAGAATATTCCATGTGTTTCGCTAGGTTAATCGAAGACATAAGGGTTCGCTTTAGTCCAAATAGCAATTGAAAGTCAATGTTTCACACCGTCTCGCGAAGACCTGCGAGTCTCTTTACTCGTGGTGGTAGAGGGTTATGGCTATATCGTGGAGGGTCCATGCTGTTTGGCGTAGGAAGGCGTGCATGTTAACTAGATGTGCAAATACATGCATTTATCTCAAACAGGTAGTCTTTTCTTATAAATCCGTCAACATGGTAAGAACAAAGATAAACACACTTTTACCCCCAATCACCTGGCTCGAGCTGAGGAGCGCCAGCAATGCAAACACAACATTCTATCTTTAGTTAACAATTCATTCAATCCCGGCAAAAAGGCCTTGTTGAAAGCCGTCAGAACGAGCCCATCATCGCGCGGATGGCTGTGGTCACGTGACTAACGGTCTGTGCCATGTCGGTGTTTACCTTCGGGAGAACCCACAGCTTCACACATGTTACCGGAACCTAGATATTTTCTTTTAATTACAATAATGACACGAGTGACATTTTAGAGACTAACAAAACGTAACATCGACCGTTTAACAAACTGGCGGCGGGTGTAATCGTGCTTCTACCGTAGGCAGTGACGCTTGGCCATACCGGATCTGTTGCTAACCCTTCTCCACCCCACATGCACTTTAATGTCTTGGTATACACATGGTCAGCAGAGGCAGTGTGTTATTGAGGTGCACACTTTGCCGTTTATAGTTCAAGATGGTCTTTTACTGACCTATAGTCCCGTGAAGATTCCGGGTTAGAATTGGTCTTCAGCAATCCATGCTTGTCGTAAGAGGCAGCTAACGGGATCGGGTGGTCAGGCTTGCAGAATTGGTTTATGCATGGCAACGAATCCCAATGGCGTAGAACGATGTTCATGACGTCAATCACTGGATTGTCTGGCCCAGATTCGATTATTTACAGACCGCCGTCTTATAGCTGGAATACTGCTGAATGCGGCGTTAAGACCAATCCGTGCCAACCGTTGTTAAACTTATCAGACAAGAATTCATTGACCTTAAATGTCACACAATATTTAATATTTCCGGAACCTTCAACATTGTCCTAAACGAACACTATTTCATCGAAGTTGTTCAATTATAGGAACGTGTTGCAGAACGATAACTCGGCAGTTCATGATTCCTCTACTTGTGGCTGCCAAGACCGCTACCATCATGTTTACTTTTCTTTTGTTGACAATACCAATTCGTCAGTAAACTAAATGTGACCCATCATATCGTGAAGTGTATGCTACTAATTGTGATCTGAACGTTAGAATCACCATGGAAGCTGTCGAGGCGTATGCCCCCAAATCGTCCAATACAGAACATGAATCTGTTTAATGACTTTCAGATGGGGTTAAATCAGTGCGTGATGTTATCATTGGTAGACTGCACAAACTGAAAAAGTAGACACAGAATGAAAATAGACCAGTCATCAAAAACCTCCTTGCCTTACATGAAAAGTGTGTGGTTGTTCCCATGGCAAGGCATCAAATCACATAACCATTATATATATGTGAGCATCACTACATTAATTGTTTGATCACAGAACTCGGTATAAATTACATCAAATAATGCCACATAAAAGTATATAAATAAGTCGACAGAGGAAATAATCTGCTACTCGTACATACCAGTACTATCATGTAGTTAAGTTATCCTGGATTCCTGCAAATGTACCACCAAATCCCTTAAAGACTAACCTTAATCAGTAGTACAATCAAAGAAGGATTTTCTCATATTCACAAAAAATATTTTGCAAAATTGAAAAAAAACCACCATGGGGTGGTCGGGTAGCCTATTGGTTAAAGCGTTCGCTCGTCACGCCGAAGATCCGGGTTCGATTCCCGACATGGGTACAATGTGTGAAGCTCATTTCTGGTGTCCCCCTCCGTGATATTGCTGGAATATTGCTAAAAGCGGCGTAAAACCATACTCACTAACCCACTCAAAAATTCAAATGATTTGCTAGATTAATGAATGGATGCAATCTTAGAATCTTTGATCATGTCGAAAAATATTCCAGCAGTTCAAGCCTTTACTTGCATTTCCCTATTTTGACTTGAATCATATGTTCCTGTGTTTGGCCAGGTGAATACTTGACTTGACATTGCGTGTGTGTGTGCCATCTGTGGGGCAGCAAACGCTCACCTTTTCTCAGATGGAATCATCACTATTTGCTGATTCATAAACACATTCGTATGACATTGAATCGTACAATGGGAAGGGTTTTGCCGCTGCAGTTCGACTCACGATGACCCGTAGTCTAGGACCGCCCTTTTGCACCCTGTTGCAAGCGGTGATCAGCTGTTGTAGGACTTAGTTTGTCTGTTGCACTCAGCAATATTCCAGCTATATGACGGCGGTCTGTAAATAATCAAGTCTGGACCAGACAATCCAGTGGTTGACATCATGATCATCGATCCACGCAATTGGGATACGTAGACATGCTTCAACCAAGTCAGCGAGCCTGACCACCCGATTCCGTTAGTCGCCTCAGTAGGGCTAAGACTGTCCCGTTGCTTCCTGTTGTTGAAGCGGTGATCAGTTGTAGAAGGTCAAGACTGACCCGTGGTCAAGAACTGTCCTTTTGCAACCAGTTGTTGAATCAGCAACTGATCAATGCTGCAGAACTCAGTTGTTGACTTGGTTAAAGTATTGAACACGAGAGACGGAACAAAAACGCAGCGTAATGGTCTGAGGACATCCAGTAATATTTGAACGAAGATGTTTCCCAAGAGAGCCCAGCATGCTCCTTTTAATTTCGTTTCTGCTAAATGCAGTTTTAAATACAGGCCAACATTTGTGAGTAGATGGTGCGATGGCTGGTTAACGGTGTACCCTGATCCAACACAGCACCACAATCCTACAACCCTGAGGGTTGGGCTGAATGAGGGGGTACGGCTGTGTGGACGCTATGCGTGGACGTAATTGGTTCTCATCAACAGCCGATGAAAGTAGCAGTCGAGCTTGTATTTTGTCCACATCTGTGATTGGAGGTCCCCGCATCACACAAAGTGGAAGGCTGCTGAATGGGCTCATGGAGAAATGCATGTAAACACTTTAAGCGTTGATACGTCCATGTAATTAGATCAATCAACTAAAGCTAAGTACACGGTGAATACCGCGCAGCCCAGCTTCCAGAAGTACTTAGCAGACATCTTTCCCACAAACACACCGCCGTTTACAAATCCTAACATTACTTGAGCAAATCGAAGAAAAGGCGCCGATCTTGGAGAAATTGGTTTACAAAAATGCTGAGGCGTATTACGTGGTTATTCGTTGACCTTGTGTGTGGAAAGACTGGATTATGCCACTGCCGGAGCTGGCGATGGTGCTGTGGCTGTCACGTCGTGGGATTGCGGGGAGCAGCGACGACGCTACAGAGTCATCGACACGACAGGAACATCAATGACGGGATCACACACAACTTCAGACTTGCCAATAATCTTCAATGAATGTAATCGCTGGCCCCACCTTCTTCATGGTGTAAGACTTCCAGTTTGTCATCGGAATTCAGAGCAGGGACAAGCGATGATCTGCCTAACATGAGCTTAAAGGGCACCTGTTCTCACAGTATGGAGATGATGTCGGCTTACAGGAACGTGCTGCTTACCCAGACTCATACAAAGGGTGCTGGGGTCTGCGGTGTGGGACGCCTCAAGGTCTGTTCTCGCTTTATCCTGTTGGGCTGCTGGCCTGGAGACAACGATCTGACAACACAGTCAAACCACAACTCCATGCCTGCCATATGAATGTTTACTTGGTTTACAAGTGGGTTTCTCAACGACCAGGCATGAGCAACGAAGGTTCTTTGCATCTCTATAATTTGTCCTAGAGTGTACCGCCAATATTGAAAACTGAAATCAAAAACTAATCTAGAAGTATGAACTGACCATATTTAGATGTATGAATTGACCAAAGGGGAAAGGGGAAAACACAACCATATTTAGATGTATGGTATGACCATAGGGAAAAGGTAAACACAACCATATTTAGATGTATGGTATGACCATAGGGGAAAGGGGAAAACACAACCACATTTAGATGTATGGTATGACCATAGGGAAAGGGGAAAACACAACCACATTTAGATGTATGGTATGACCATAGGGGAAAGGGGAAAACACAACCACATTTAGATGTATGGTATGACCATAGGGGAAAACAGAACTGACCAAAGGGAAAAGGGGAAAACACAACTGACCAAAGGGTTTCTCAATTGTACTGGTGAAACTTGAAACACTAAGGTGTGATGTTGGTGATGTGGAGGTAATGTGGCGGTGGTCTTACAACACTAAGGTGAAGTAGTGGTGATGTTGAGGTGGTCTTGCAACACTAAAGGGAGGTGATGGTTATGTTGAGGTGGTCTTACAACACTAAGGTGAGATGATGGTTATGTTGAGGTGGTCTTACAACACTAAGGTGAGGTGATGGTTATGTTGAGGTGGTCTTACAACACTAAGGTGAGGTGATGGTTATGTTGAGATGGTCTTACAACACTAAGGTGAAGTGGTGGTGATGTGGAGGTGGTCTTATAACACTAAGGTGATGGTGATGGTTATGTTGAGGTGGTCTTACAACACTAAAGTGTGGTGATGGTGATGTTGAGGTGGTCTTACAACACTAAAGTGTGGTGATTGTGATGTTGAGGTGGTCTTACAACACTAAGGTGTGATAGTGGTGATGTGGAGGTGGTCTTACAACACTAAGGTGAGGTGATGGTTATGTTGAGGTGGTCTTACAACACTAAAGTGAGGTGATGGTGATGTTGAGGTGGTCTTACAACACTAAAGTTTGATAGTGGTGATGTGGAGGTGGTCTTACAACACTAAAGGAAGGTGATGGTGATGTTGAGGTGGTCTTACAACACTAAGGTGTGGTGGTGGTGGTGGTGTTGAGGTGGTCTTACAAATCTAAGGTGTGGTGACGGTGTTGTTGAGGTGGTCTTACAACACAAAGGTGTGGCGGTGGTGAAGTGGAGGTGGTCTTACATCCCTAGGATGTGATGGTAGTGGTGTTGAGGTGGTCTTACAACACTAAGGTGTGGTGATGGTGTTGTTGAGGTGGTCTTACAACACTAAGGTGTGGCGGTGGTGAAGTGGAGGTGGTTTCACAACACTAAGGTGAAGTAGTGATGATGTTGATGTGGTCTTACAACACTAAGGTATGGTGATGGTGAAGTGGAGGGATGTAAGATGGAGTAGTTGTGGTGGTAGGCGTTCTTTGTTAGTTGATGTTAAGGTATGGGAGTTACGATCACCTTAGAACTACGATCGCATTGTACAACGGCACCCTTGGATCAAGATCTGTCTGACCTCTAAAATGGTGAGGTTCTTGCAGTTCCAGGATGACGTCGACATTTGCCCATGTAGCAGGATTCACGCTGAAGGAAGTTCTATGTTCTATGTAGTGGGAGAACGACAGGAACAGCGAAGTCAATCTGAATGTTATGTGAGACCCTTGTTGGTGTTGCCGGATAAGTCGTACATCAACAGGGGCCCCAGTCGAATTAAACTGAGCTAAACAAACCCAATATAGTCAAAAGTAAATGGAGAAATTGGACATATAAAACCGTTCATTGGACAAAAACCGTGTGGTGGCCGCACACACGATGTGCCTTGTATTGAGCATGGCCACACATTCCCCAGCAGGCGGTGGCAGATTGTTTTACACGTGTTAATCAATCAGCGTGATATCACAGTAGGGCGTTTCACGCGATACCGCCATTGCCGCTCATTAAACGCCTTTCATTGAGCGTCATTAACCCCACTACTTGGACAACTGCAGCGCTGCTATTAGCAACATCGACGACTTCTATTTTTTACTAAATATTCCCACAGGAGGGATGGTTTTCGGTAACACGAAGGCAATTTATACGGTGTAGATTTACTTAACGATTATTAGATTCCACTGCTTCAGGAAGCCATCGTGGTTTTCAAACGTTCGTCGAGTTAATAAATACAAAAATAAAACACAACACAAAACAACAAAATACCATGCACTTCAGTACATGATGAAGAAACATACGTAACCGTTCTCTGCGTATTTAATCCATAAGTGCAAGTAGAAAATATAAAGACAATATAATCGTTGACGACCTATTGTGTCTCTGTGTGGCGTGATTACTCCCCGAGGTTTCTTGTGGACTACTACCGATACCTGTTGTGAAGGGCTACTACCGCCCTGCTGTGAAGGGCTACTACCGTCCTGCTGTGAAGGACTTATAACGGTACCTGTTGTGAAGGGCTTCTACCGTCCTGTTGTGAAGGGCTACTACCGATACCTGCTGTGAAGGGCTACTACCGTCCTGCTGTGAAGGGCTACTACCGTCCTGTTGTGAAGTACAACTACCGTCTTGTTGTGAAGGGCTACTACCGTCCTGCTGTGAAGGACTTATAACGGTACCTGTTGTGAAGGGCTACTACCGTCCTGTTGTGAAGGGCTACGACCGTCCTGCTGTGAAGGGCTACTACCGTCCTGTTGTGAAGTACAACTACCGTCTTGTTGTGAAGGGCTACTACCGTCCTGCTGTGAAGGACTTATAACGGTACCTGTTGTGAAGGGCTACTACCGTCCTGTTGTGAAGGGCTACGACCGTCATGTTGTGAATGGCTACTACCGTCCTGTTGTGAAGGGCTGCTACCGTCCTGTTGTGAAGGGCTACTACCGTCCTGTTGTGAAGGGCTACTACCGTCCTGTTGTGAAGGGCTACTACCGTCCTGTTGTGAAGGGCTGCTACCGTCCTGTTGTGAAGGCCTACTACCGTCCTGTTGTGAAGGGCTACTACCGTCCTGTTGTGAAGGGCTACTACCGTCCTGTTGTGAAGGGCTGCTACCGTCCTGTTGTGAAGGCCTACTACCGTCCTGTTGTGAAGGGCTACTACCGTCCCGTTGTGAATGGCTACGGCCGCCATGTTGTGAGGGCCTACTACCGTCCTGTTGTGAAGGGCTACTACCGTCCTGTTGTGAAGGGCTTCTACCGTCCTGTTGTGAAGGGCTACTACCGTCCTGTTGTGGAGGCCTACTACCGTCCTGTTGTGGAGGCCTACTACCGTCCTGTTGTGAAGGGCTACTACCGTCCTGTTGTGAAGGGCTACTACCGTCCTGTTGTGAAGGGCTTCTACCGTCCTGTTGTGAAGGGCTACTACCGTCCTGTTGTGAAGGGCTTCTACCGTCCTGTTGTGAAGGGCTTCTACCGTCCTGTTGTGAAGGGCTTCTACCGTCCTGTTGTGAAGGGCTACTACCGTCCTGTTGTGAAGGGCTACTACCGTCCTGTTGTGAAGGGCTACTACCGTCCTGTTGTGAAGGGCTACTACCGTCCTGTTGTGAAGGGCTACTACCGTCCTGTTGTGAAGGGCTTCTACCGTCCTGTTGTGAAGGGCTACTACCGTCTTGTTGTGAAGGGCTACTACCGTCCTGTTGTGAAGGGCTACTACCGTCCTGTTGTGGAGGCCTACTACCGTCCTGTTGTGAAGGGCTACTACCGTCCTGTTGTGAAGGGCTACTACCGTCCTGTTGTGAAGAGCTACTACCGTCCTGTTGTGAAGGGCTACTACCGTCCTGTTGTGAAGGGCTACTACCGTCCTGTTGTGAGGGCCTACTACCGTCCTGTTGTGAAGGGCTACTACCGTCCTGTTGTGAAGGGCTACTACCGTCCTGTTGTGAAGGGCTACTACCGTCCTGTTGTGAAGGGCTACTACCGTGATGCTGTGAAGGGCTACTACCGCCCTGTTGTGAAGGGCTTCTACCGGCTTGTAAAAGACTACCACTGAAACAAGTGTTTAAACTTTCCAATCTTATCTGACCGTGGTATTTTGTCAGAGTGAGATAATGGCCACTATTGATCACATGCCTACATAGCGTTTAATCTGACTTCTATGTGTGGTACCTGGTGACCCCAGGAATTGTGCAGTCTGACGAGGCCACTATTTACCTTGCCTAGAGGGGTTACCCTGTACTCTCACTGACTCGGTGCCTGCTGGGGATGTTCAGTCCGATGGGTTGATTGCGGTGCAGGTGCCGCAGTTGTAAAGCGTGGCGATAATTTGTCTGCTGACCACCATTATGCCAACTACGCCAGTCGGCGAGATTGATCGGTCAGTTGCGAATGTCAGAGCTTGACCATCACAGCTGAAAGTGATGACCAATTCATTTGTGACGCGAGACGATACATGGCCAATTAGTGTGATGAAGTGTGCAGGAGGAGTCTACGGCGTGAAACTGTGAACATGGTTGTGTCAGTGTGGGAGGGTCCGGGGTGAGAGAGCGTCCGGGTGAGAAAGTGTCCGGGTGAGAGAGTTTGGGGTGATAGAGAGTCCGGGGTGAGAAAGTGTCCGGGTGAGAGAGTTTGGGGTGATAGAGAGTCCGGGGTGATAGAGAGTCCAGGTGAGAGAGAGTCCAGGTGTGAGAGAGTCCGGGGTGAGAGAGAGTCCGGGGTGAGAAGTTGTCCAGGGTGATTGAGCGTCCAGGTGAGAGAGGGTCCGGGGTGAGAAAGTGTCTGGGGTGAGAGAGTGTCCGGGGTGAGAGAGCGTCGGGGTGAGAGAGTGTCGGGGTGATAGAGTGTCGGGGTGATAGAGAGTCTGGGGTGAGAGAGTGTCCGGGTCGAGAGAGCGTCGGGGTGAGAAAGAGTCTGGGGTGAGAGAGTGTCCGGGGTGAGAGAGCGTCGGGGTGAGAGTGTCGGGGTGATAGAGAGTCTTGGGTGAGAGAGTGTCCGGGGTGAGAGAGCGTCGGGGTGAGAAAGTGTCCGGGGTGAGAGAGCGTCCAGGTGAGAGAGAGTTCGGGGTGAGAGAGAGTCCGGGGTGAGAGAGAGTCCGGGGTGAGAAAGTGTCTGGGGTGAGAGAGTGTCGGGGTGACAGAGAGTCTTGGGTGAGAGAGTGTCCGGGGTGAGAGAGGGTCTGGGTGAGAAAGAGTCCAAGGTGAGAGTGTGACCGGGTGAGAGAATGTTGGGGTGGGAGAGAATCTGAGGTTAGAGAGTGTTGGGTCGAGAGAGAATCTGGGGTGAGAGTGTGTCAGGGTGGTGGAGAGTTCTTTGTGAGAAAATGTCCATGGTGATAGAGTATCCTCATTGCGTGAGCGTCCGGGTGAAAAATTATCCTCAGTGAGAGAACGTCCGAGGCGACAGAAGGTCCCGATGAGAGAGTGTCCTTGGTGAGATAGTGTCCTTGGTGAGAGCGCATCCGGGATAAGAGAGCGTCCTTGGTGAGAAGGTATCCTCGGTGCCAAAGGGACGCAACTCTGCACAGCGAGTCGCGGCGCCTCTAACGACTTGGCCACCCGTGCCCCCTCATTGTGGTGAGATGTTGCGTTAAATGAATGCAACGCCACGGTATTTTGATCGTACACCTCAACGATGGCTGCATTCAAATCATTAGTTCTTTTTTTTGTCGGTAGTAATAATTACAGATTACGACGGCGAATAGTTAATCAAAATAACAAGATTTCATGACGAGTAATGTCAAGTAGGAAAGCATCACAATCAACTCTGACAAACGCGGGTCTCAAGTAGACTGATGTTATGCCACAGGCGTGACTTAAATGGGCTGATCACGCACAGGCGGCTTATAGACTGATGGGTAGTGAAGAACAATGTTATTTGTGCTTCCAAACAGACCACTCTACCTGCCTAACCAGCGTTATCGCAATAATCTCACCTACAACAATCGGAATTATAATCGTTATTGCTTTCTCCTCTCGCCCTACTCTCTTGACTGGTTTGAAGAATTAATGCAGCCTTGGGGCGAAATGGATGTACTTTAGTATACAGCTAAGCCTTTGTATATTAATACTGACCATCACTCATAAGCAGATGTGTAACACCCACACAATCCAGCTTGACGCGTCTGCTTGACTGGCCTGCTTGACGAGAGCTGAATACACACATGGCAATGTTGACACAGGGCTCCTCCACCATGCGATGTCACCGATGCTTGCTGGAGTCCTAATGTCAGCGGAGTCCCCTCTGTTGTATTTGGTCGACTTAAAAAGTAAATCCGATAGTGGCTCTCCAGATCATTAATTTTAGACGAGCAACGAAAGAAATATGTTCCTATCTCACAAAAGATGTCATTGATTTTGTTCTGTTGTCTTGATAAGTGACGTTAGTAATTCTAAGCACCTTTGTTTCAACCCTTGAGATTCTGATGTTAACTAAAGAACGGCTCACAAGCCATTAACGTTTACCGATGGCTTCCTGATAAAGGTTGACCATGGCTTTAGCTCGATAACAGCCCCGCAGTGAGCAGTATTACTGCAACAGTTGGGTGCATCTGTCCTAGAACTGTCCGCCTGATTGTATTAGTGTGATAGTGGAATACATCTGTCCTAGAACTGGCCGCCTGATTGTATTAGTGTCATAGTGGAATACAACTTTCCTAGAACTGTCCGCTTGATTGTTTTACTGTCATAGCTGGGTACATCTGTCCTAGAACTGTCCGCTTGATTGTATTCCTGCCATAGTGGAATACATCTGTCCTGGAACTGTCGCTTGATTGTATTCCTGCCATAGTGGAATACATCTGTCCTGGAACTGTCGCTTGATTGTATGACTTTCATAGTTGGGTACATCTGTCCTAGAACTGTCGAACTCATCGTATTACTGTTAAAGTGGAATACATCTGTCCTAGAACTGTCCGCTTGATTGTATTCCTGCCATAGTGGAATACATCTGTCCTAGAACTGTCGAACTCATCGTATTACTGTCATAGTGGAATACATCTGTCCTAGAACTGTCCGCCTGATCGTATTACTGTCATAGTGGAATACATCTGTCCTAGAACTGTCGAACTCATCGTATTACTGTTAAAGTGGAATACATCTGTCCTAGAACTGTCCGCCTGATCGTATTACTGTCATAGTGGAATACATCTATCCTAGAACTGTCCGCTTGATTGTATTACTGTCCTAGTTGGATACATCTGTCCTAGAACTGTCGAACTCATCGTATCACTGTTAAAGTGGAATACATCTGTCCTAGAACTGTCCGCCTGATTGTATCAGTGTGATAGTGGAATACATCTGTCCTAGAACTGTCCGCCTGATCGTATTACTGTCATAGTGGAATACATCTGTCCTAGAACTGTCCGCTTGATTGTATTACTGTCCTAGTTGGGTACATCTGTCCTAGAACTGTCGAACTCATCGTATCACTGTTAAAGTGGAATACATCTGTCCTAGAACTGCCCGCTTGATTGTATTACTGTCCTAGTTGGGTACATCTGTCCTAGAACTGTCGAACTCATCGTATTACTGTTAAAGTGGAATACATCTGTCCTAGAACTGTCCGCTTGATTGTACTACTGTCATAGTTGGGTACATATGTCCTAGGACTGTCGAACTCATCGTATTACTGTTAAAGTGGAATACATCTGTCCTAGAACTGTCCGCCTGATTGTATCAGTGTGATAGTGGAATACATCTGTCCTAGAACTGTCCGCCTGATTGTATTTGTGTCATAAAGGAATACAACTGTCTAAGAACTGTCCGCCTGATTGTATTACTGTCCTAGTTGGGTACATCTGTCCTAGAACTGTCGAACTCATCGTATTACTGTTAAAGTGGAATACATCTGTCCTAGAACTGTCCGCCTGATTGTATCAGTGTGATAGTGGAATACATCTGTCCTAGAACTGTCCGCCTGATTGTATTAGTGTCATAAAGGAATACAACTGTCTAAGAACTGTCCGCCTGATTGTACTACTGTCATAGTTGGGTACATCTGTCCTAGAACTGTCGAACTCATCGTATTACCGTCATACTGGAATACATCTGTCCTAGAACTGTCCGCCTGATCGTATTACTGTCATCGTGGAGTACATCTGTCCTAGAACTGTCGCTTGATTGTATTACTGTCATAGCGGAGTACATCTGTTCTAGAACTGTCGAACTCATCGTATTACTGTTAAAATGGAATACATATGTCCTAGAACTGTCCGCCTGATCGTATTACTGTCATAGTGGAATACATCTGTCCTAGAACTGTCCGCTTGATTGTATTACTGTCCTAGTTGGATACATCTGTCCTAGAACTGTCGAACTCATCGTATTACTGTTAAAGTGGAATACATCTGTCCTAGAACTGCCCGCTTGATTGTATTACTGTCCTAGTTGGGTACATCTGTCCTAGAACTGTCGAACTCATCGTATTACTGTTAAAGTGGAATACATCTGTCCCAGAAATGTCCGCTTGATTGTATTACTGCCCTAGTTGGGTGCACCTGTCCCAGAACTGTCGAACTCATCGTATTACTGTTAAAGTGGAATACATCTGTCCTAGAACTGTCCGCTTGATTGTATTACTGCCATAGTGGAATACATCTGTCCTAGAACTGTCGAACTCATCGTATTACTGTCATAGTGGAATACATCTGTCCTAGAACTGTCCGCCTGATCGTATTACTGTCATAGTGGAATACATCTGTCCTAGAACTGTCGAACTCATCGTATTACTGTTAAAGTGGAATACATCTGTCCTAGAACTGTCCGCCTGATCGTATTACTGTCATAGTGGAATACATCTGTCCTAGAACTGTCCGCTTGATTGTATTACTGTCCTAGTTGGATACATCTGTCCTAGAACTGTCGAACTCATCGTATCACTGTTAAAGTGGAATACATCTGTCCTAGAACTGTCCGCCTGATTGTATCAGTGTGATAGTGGAATACATCTGTCCTAGAACTGTCCGCCTGATCGTATTACTGTCATAGTGGAATACATCTGTCCTAGAACTGTCCGCTTGATTGTATTACTGTCCTAGTTGGATACATCTGTCCTAGA